GTAGGGTGTAAGACTTCCTTTTCCCCCACATCCTTACCAGCATTTATTATGTTTTTTTTTTTTATAATAACCATTCCAACTAGGGTGAGATGGAATCTCAGTGCAGGTTTGATTTACATTTCACTGATGGCTAAAGATGTTGCATATATTTATTGGCCATATGTGTCTGTTGAGATTTTTTGTGCATTTGTCATTTGCATTACTTGTTCTTCTGTTAAATTTTTTGAGCTCCTTATACATTCTGGATATTTGTGTACTATCACATGAATAGCTGGCAAAGATTTTCTCCAGCTAAAGATTCTGTAGACTTCCTCTTTTTTCTGTTGATTATATCCTTTCTGTACATAAGTTTTTTGATTTGATGTAATCCCATATATCACTCAAGGGTAAAAATCAAATTATCATCACAATAGATGCAGGAAAAAACCCTTTGATCAAATTCAACATGATAAAAACCCTAAATAAGTTAGTTATAGAAGAATAATACCTCAAAATAATAAAGACTATACAACAAACCGAGAGAGCCAGTATCATATTGAATGGAGGAAAACTGAAAGGATTTCCTCTAAAATCAGAAAGAAGACAAAGGTGCCCATTGTCACCACTATCATTCAGTATGGTACTTGAAATTTTAGCCAGAGCAATCAGGCAAGAAAAAGAAATAAAAGAGATACAAATAAGAAAGGAGGAAGTCATTATGGCTTATACTCTCTCTACAACAAAATTAGAAATAAGGGCAAAATAGTTTCTGCTGGGTATTGAGGGGGTAGGGGGGAGAGGGAGGGGGTGGAGTGGGTGGTAAGGGAGGGGGTAGGGGCAGGGGGGAGAAATGACCCAAGTCTTGTATGCACATATGAATAAAATAAATAAATAAATAATTTAAAAAAAAAGAAAGGAGGAAGTCAAATTACCCCTATTTGCAGATGATGAGAAAACCCTAAAAAGTCCACCAAAAGACTCTGAGAACTAATAAACACATTCAACAAAGAAGCACTATACAAAAGCAACATAAAAAAATGAGTAGTTTTTCCCTGTATCAATAATGAACTTGCTGAGAAAGGAATAATCCCATTCACAATATCCTCAAAAAATAAAATACTTAGGAATAAATTTAACCAAGGAAGTGAAAGACCTTTATAATGAAAACTATAAAATACTGAAGAAGGAAATTGAAGAAGACTAGAATATGGAAAGGCCCTCCAGTATTTGTGAATCAGCAGAATTTAATATTGCTAAAATGGCTATCCTACTGAAGCTATCTACAGATGCAGTACAATCCCCATCAAAATAAATAATCCTAAAATTCATGTAGAGGAAGCTGAGTGAGGTGATGCCCACCTGTAATCCAGCACTTGGGAAGCTGAGGCAGGAGGATTGGGAGTGTGAGGCCAGACTGGGCTTGATAGGAAGACCCTGTCTCAAACAAACAAACAAAGCTAGACCCAAAAAACTCGTATGTATTACTAATCAGCTAGCTGGGGTCCTTTTGCTCTACCCAGATAGGAATTGTGGGTAGGTGAAGAGAAGCTCTTTCAGGGTTAGTAATCATGGTGTCTGTAGCAGTCATGCAAATAAACAACATGTTTGCACCACTCATGACACAGTCTCATGTTGGCAGTTCCTTATGTGCTTGAAGGACTGTGTTTGCATCAGTCATAGGCATTCTGCTGGGCCACCAGGGGAAGTGCTCCCCCTCTGACCTGGGTGGAAATGGCTGCAGGGACATCTAAAGTTCACGGAGGCTGTGATGGCAAAAAGTCCAGCGCAAGCTGTTTGAAACAGTTGTGGCTGGGATGGTACCTTCAGGAGCCAGAGCTGTGCTTCAGCAGCAAGCAGCTGTGGTTGTTGTATAGCTTCCTCAAGGCATCTATGGAGTGTCCAAAGCAGCCAGCACTGGTGTGAGGACAGTCTGGTTGCTTGGCTGGCAGCCCTCTGGTCAAGGCCCAGGGCTCCAAGGAAGGGTCTAACAGCTGTCAATGAGAGAGTCAGATTGCTCAGACCCCCAAAACCTTACCTTATTTAAAAGAAAAATCAACACTAAAAGATAAAGGCTTATCTTTGCCATTAGCAGTGATTTAACAATGTTTAGTTCCTGTCCCTCTAGTCTGTCTCTATGACTGAATAGCCAAAGCAATCTGAGTAAAAAGAGCAATGCTGGCATCATTACAGTATCTGATTTCAAGATACACCACACAGCCATAGTAACAAAAAAAGCTTGGTTTTGGCACAAAAACAGACATGTAGACCAATGAAATAAAATTGAGGACCCAGAAATAAATGCATGCATCTTTAGCCAACTGATTCTCAACAAAGATGCCAAAGATATACATCCTCTTCAAGTGGTGCTGGAAAAACTGGATATTCACATGTAGAAAGACTGAAACTAGACCCAAGTCTCTCACTTGGTACAAAAATCAACTTGGATTAAACATCTTAACGTCAGACCCAAGGCTTTGAAAGTGCTGGCATAGGCAATAATTTCCTAAATAGGACCTCAACAGTTCAATGCTCTTAATCTCTCAAGGTCACCTTTCTGGGTCACCTTTGTTTCCTCAGATCAGCCTTTCCCTGTCATTGTTGCTGATTTCCAGTGTTGTTATTACTATTATCCTTCCAAGAATGACCCTGCCTTTCAAGTGTCTTGTCTTTCATCTGAGCTCCATTCCAGCCAGTTGTAGCTTGACATCCCAAGGGATGCTCTCTGTCATCCTTGTTCTGTTTTGTTTTGCAGTGCTGGAGATCAAATCCAGGGCTTCACATATGCTAAGCATGTGCTCTACCATTGAGCTACACCTCTGTCGTACTTGAATCTACCAAGTTTGGTCACTTTCTCTTTAAATGACACGAAGGAGGGTCTCCTCTTTTCCAGTATCAGCTCTTCGTAGATCCTTAGCCTCTTTAAGTTTGCTTGGTCTCCCCCCTGTCCCCTCTCCCTGTGGTGCTGGGGATGTAACCCAGGGCCTCATGCATGCTAGGCAGGCACTCTACCACTGAGCCACACCCCAGGCCCTCTTAGACTCTTAACTGATGTCCCTGTCTGCCTCCTTCGAAGTCCTTTGCTGTACAGAATTGTGTCATGCTCTGTGTGGAACTGCTGCTGGCTTCCACTGCAGACTTAGGCTCACATTCCAGCTTCTCGTGTGTGCCCACATTACCTGTTCAGCTTCTGCTTGCATCTCTTGCTCAGGACAAACCATCTTTGTAGGGACCACTTGTATCCTGCTGTTCCTGTGCTTGCCAGGATGGTTTCTTTGCTCTTCTTGTTCCTTCTGTCTTCTAGCCAGCATCCTCGTCCTCTCCAACTTACCTCAGTGTTCTGCTCCTTCACAGAGCATTTTTGCATGCCCTGGCCAAATACTCAACTCCTCCATCTTGATTTTTTGTCATTTTTTATGTAGAGCACAAAGGTGCTTTTTATCGTATAGCTACTGTCTCTGCTTCTTATCTCTGATTCTAAAATCCAACAAATTTGGAAAAGTGAAAACTTTTTAATCTTGGCACAAAACTGAACTTTTAAAAATATTCATAACTTTTATTTGAATTAACTATTATTGTATCAGCAAGAGGATTTTATTGGAAACAACAATTATAAATGTCTCACTGTTTAGCTATGTAAAATTAGGAAATCAACATGATCTCAGGCAGGAAATTAGGAAAAATAGTAAAACCTTATTGCCTAACATTGAGAGTAATGAGAAGAGGATTAGCAGAGTTAAACCAAGTTATGCAAATCCGTCATGGGTAAGTTTGTTGAGGTAGATGTTTACCTAATCAAAATGTGATGGTGGGTAAGTCTAAGCTGAAGGGTTTTAAACAAATTCTCTAAAATAGACACATAGCCAAGGCATAGGCATAAAAATCTCTTTGGCAAATATAGGATTGTTGCTGAGTTTATTTTCATTTTTCTTTGGCAGAGACAATGTTAAGACAGTGGATGTATTGTAGGAAATAGCCCAAATAAAATAATGCAGAGGCTGATAACTGGGGATACCTACAGCATTGTGCTTCTCACACTAGGGTCTGAGGTCTGTGCACACTGAGAGCGTGAAGGGGAGAGAGGAAGTTGAGTATAACAGGCATGACTGCCAGGAAGTTCAAGTTCATTTGATGACTCAAGGGAGAAAATGAAGCATTAGAATAATGTATCATGATGCAAAATGCAAACTTTCTATGCATTTGAATGACAAAACATGAAATTTAAAAGAAGTGGGGGCCCATGGGAGGTGGGGAGGGACTTACCCTGCATTCCCCCTGTTGGGGATGAGGAAGAGCTCATCTGAGACAGGCAGATTATTGCATTGCTAACTGGATGAACTGTGGATTATGTATTTGTAGAGCTCCCTATGGCCACAAAGAATGGTAACATCCTCCGAGATGTGACTGTCTCAAAGGACTAACACTGGTGCATCAGTTAGAGTCACTGATAACAAGGAAGATACAGGGGAGTTGAGACCAGGGACAGTGACTCAAGGCCTACCACACATGAAGCCCTAGGTTCCATCCCCAGCACCAAAACAGACAAAAAAAAGTTAAGGTCAGAAAGGGTTACTTTAAAAAATTACTAATCTTGACAACACCACAAATTACTCAGTATAGTTTTCAAAGTTGCGTGTTAAGTGAAATAATCCAGTCATTAAAGCACAGGTATGCTATGTGACTTCAGTTACAGTAGGAATCTAAGATCGTTAAACTCATAATGACAGAAATTAGAATGGTGAGTTTTAGGGGCTCAGGGGAGAGGAGAATGGCTGTATAGAGGGTGTACAATTCCATTTTTGCAAGATGAAAGTGTTGTGGAGGTTTGTTTGACAACATTGAGAATATACTTCATGACACTGGCAGTAGACTTCAAATGGTCAGGAGGCTAAACTGTGTCGTGTGGCTGTACCTTTCATTACTTTTGTTTGTTTGTTTAAATTAAGCTTATTATAAGTGTTCTTTCTCAGCAAGATTTATGTGGTTATGCTGTTTTTCTATATTTTGTTGTATTTTTTCAATAGGCAAGTCAGAGCGGCAGCTATGGGGGATCCTGGACTCCCCAAATTGCAGTTTGCCCCCTTCAGTAGTGCCTTGGATGTTGGCTTCTGGCATGAGTTGACCCAAAAGAAGCTGAATGAATATCGGCTGGATGAAGCTCCCAAGGACATTAAGGGTTATTACTATAATGGTAGGCATCTTTTGTGATCTTCTGTGGTCCTCTTAGACCTCCAGTATGATGTCAGCTACCATCCATCTATCTATCATCATGATATCTCTCTGTATGCCTATCTATCTGTCTATCTGTCTATCATCATATCTGTCTACCTACCTACCTGTTATGGACATGGAACCCAGGGCTCACGCGTAACAGACAAATGCTGTACCCCTGAGCCACATCCCCAGCCCTCAGCTTTGATTTCCTGTTCTTCATATTCAGAGCTCTCCACTAGTTTCTCCTTCCAAACTTATTAATCCAAATACTAATTACTTAGCCTTGTAGGGGGGAGGAGATTGGAAATACTTTTTTTCCAGGGAATCTTTTGCTTTTGGCAAATCCCTCATATTTACAAGAGCCCTGTTACATTCTGTCATTATCTGTAGACATTATCTATGAACCATAGAAAAGCACAAATTAGATTGGGCACTTTGAGCCTAATTTAAAAAGAACAGAACTGTTCACAGACATTTTTGCTATAAATGCTACTTTTCTGACTTGTTACTCAAAACGTGCTAATCCTTCTGTCCAGGTGATTCTGCTGGGCTGCCAGCTCGCTTAACATTGGAGTTCAGTGCTTTCGACATGTGAGTATTTATATTTTGGAAATTAAAGTAAAGAGCGCTGCTTGCTTTTGGCGAGGAGTGAGTATTGTTACCTCTCCCAGGTGGACTGCAGGAGGAGCTAGGTAAGCCCAGTGAGCAGAGTACCTCCTGACTCTCATGTACCTCCCACTGAGACAAGTGTTAGTTGCTTAGGATTACCTGGCCCATTGTTTTCAACAACAAAAAAATAAGTATTTTTTAGAGCCTGTCAGGTGCTAAGTACCTTCTAGATTGACTAGGACTTGGATAACATCCCTCCTAGCTTTGGCTGTAGTTAATATTTTATGATTCTTCACTGGTACCTCTCGACTTAACTCCTTTAGTTGTTTATCCATGGGCATCAGTCGGTTAATTTTATTAGGCTGTTTCTGCATACAACTTACTATGCATGGCATTACAAAACAGAATGACAGATATATCTTCAAAGAATTTTTTTTTAAATCCACCTGGCGGCTATGGGAGTTGCTAGAGAAGAAAGAGGTATTTATTGTGTATTTAATTAGCCAGGGATGTGCTTTTTTATAACTGCCAGGATTTTTCTCTCCTTTTCAGATAAGGAGATCATGGGTCAAAATGTAAAATGACTGGCCCAGTGTTATACCTAGCTAAATTTAGAAAGCAGAAGTGAGAAAAAACATGCATCCATTAAGTGTGTTTCTGAAATACAGTCTGAGTAGCTAAGGGGATTGTGTTATTTTTTATGATACAGAGAAACCAGGAGGAAACACTTTCTAGGAGCAGGTAAGTTTGGCTCCAAACATGTTGAGTTTGAGTGACAGGGTCCACTGGTAATGTGGAAGGTTAGACTCCATCCGGGAGTCTAACAATCTTATAGCATAAGAAGATCACAGGGTACAATCAATGAGTAGCCTGGTCAGAGAAGAAAAAGAGGATACTGAGCTGGCCAAGGAAACCTGTGGTCAGAGAACCCAACCATTGTCCCAGAAACCAGAAAAGGAAGTACTTTCAGGATGGTCAACAAGGTCAGTGTTTAATATACAGTCATTGGATTTGTTGACTAAGTTATTTGAGGTTCTTGTGAGTTTGGTTTCACAGAAGGGTGGAATCATAACCACACTGAGAGGCTTTAAGGTTGCTGAGGGATGAAGAATTAAAGGTACTGACAAGTCCGTTGTGCTCTACAGTACCTCACCACTGCCAAGGTGAGGGCCTTGGGGAGATGAAGAGATCTTCGAAGGTCTGCCTGTTCAATGGCTAGGGTATTTCTGGTAAAGTGGCTCTAAAATTTTTTTAATGTCTCAAAAAATCAATACATTTTATTCTTTATCTCCAAAATATTGGAAAATTTAAAAGTATAATATAAATCCAAAACAGTGTTAGTCTTTATATCTTTGAAAAGTACATGTTGGTGCTTCTTTTCCCTTTTAAGGTTTTCTTGATCCATCACAAATTCCTTGTGATTACTTGTTAAAACAAATTAAATCCTAGTAATCACCCTCCAGTTTTGGCAAAAAACTACCTTACTTTTGGAGCAGTTACAATATAATGAGTAAAATACACAAGCATTAAACTGTCCAATGAGGGTGAAAGGGAACATCAGGTTTTCGTTTCATATGCAGAGTTTTGGGTTCATCTCCTACTGGCCTTGCTCCTGTCTCCGTCTTGACACCAGACTGAGGTTCTGTTTGTGCTTGAAGATTTTTTTTTTTTTTTTTTTGTGGGACTGGGGTTTGATCTCGGGGCTTTGTGCTTTTGCAGGTGCTCTACTGCTTGAGCCACATCTCCACTTCTGTGCTTAAAGATTTTAAGAATTTTACTCTTTGGACATTAATTAGAAAAATGTAATTCATAGAAGTTAAGTTTGATCTTATTATAAAAGCACCTTAAAATGAGTAGCCTAGAAAGTTTGGTGGCAGACACTCTGTGATCCTACAGCTGTGACCTTCACACAGATTGCTGGATCTCACTGGAACATGTTTTTCCCTTCGACTGTTATGTACTCCCCCACCCCCCTGCCCGATGTCATGAAGCACTGGGACAGAGTAGGGAGGTGAGAACGAATAAGGCATGGTCCTCAGTGCTGTGAAAATACCCTTGACTTTGATGTTTGAAGACCTGGGTCCTATGGCTTATTAACTGTGCTACCTCAGATAAATCTTTTTACTTCTCATTTCTAGAATGTTCTCTGTCTTTGAACATTCCTTCCTTTTTAAAAGTCTGATTGTTTTGAGTTCCTCTTTCATAGCATGGTTAGAAAGTGTAATGGAATCACTTGGGAATACACAGAAAGCAGGAATTGCTTTTGTCCAGATTTTCTTCATTACTCTGCCTCTGTTTTATTGCCATATATCTGCATGGGTTTTAGAGAAAGTATGAATTTATTTATCAGCAAATGTCTACACTGCACAGAACGTGTAGGTGTTAGGAATGCAAAGACTCATGAAACACGTCCTACTGAGCTCCACTGCAGTATGTATGTGATAGAAGACAGAGACTTGCATTGTGGTGTGCTCAGTGCTGTATAAATGTGGAGAGTAATCGTTATTTCAAGATTACCTGCTTCCTCTGTGTCTTGATACTAGAATGTGCTGAGCACTGGGCATACAGAGAGGAATGTAGTATAGGTGAGAGCTACCATTCCTAGTACTCATTTCTGGATGCCACAGTGTCTCAGCTTTTGCACAGTACCAGATAAATCCCTATATTCCAAGATCTGGAAGTCTCTGCTAGCAGTTGGAGACTCAGGATCCTGCTGGCTGAACTGTGTGCCACCAGTTGTCAGTCCAGAATCTTTTTATCAGGCACCATGTCATGAAATGGAGAATGCAGTGTTAGGACAGGGGACACTGCTGAACCAGACCCAGAAGTAGAAGAGCTTAGCACAAAAGAAGTTTAATTCTTGCTCACTTAATCATCCAGGGCTAGTGTCCAGTCTTTTTCCATCTATGGCTCTGTCATCCTTGAGGACTTTGCCTTTGTGTCTTGGTTAAGTCTGAGTTGTTACTTTTGGGTAACAATAGCTAGAAAGGTAAAGAAAGCCAGGGTGAAAATAGGTAGAAGAGACGGGTCCATTTGTTTAGCCTCTGGTGAGGACAGTGGGTAGCAACATGACATGGTGGGAGTGTATATAGGAGCAAAAGGTCATATCTAGAGCAGAACCACAGAGGAAGAGAGAGGACAGGCCACACTCAGGCTTAAGAGATCTACCTTTTGAGGGCAGCTCCCCAATGACATTAGGACCTCCCACTAGGTTTCACCTCCTCCCAGTAGTGCCACTCTAAGAGCCAAGCCTTTAACACATGGGCCTTTAACACGTTGAGGAATGCTCAACGTCCAGACCGTAGCACTAGGTTGGTATGTACATGATTGAGAATCCACTTGTGGCTTTAGAGTATGGGGAAGGTTGCCAATTCAGATTTTTTGCAGCACCTTTATTAAAGTATAATCCACCTGCCAGAAAATTCACCCTCTTAAAATGTGCATATGAGTTGTTTTTAATACTTCATACAGTTGGGCAGAACATTTTCATCACCCAAAAAGAAGTCCTTAGCAGTCATTCTACATTCCCTCCCCTGGCCTCTGTCTCTGAGAATTTGCCTATTCTGGACATTCATAGACAGAAACAAAAGAAACTAAAGGGTCAGAACGAGTCTCCTGTCCCCATGTGTCAGGCTTGTGTTCATTACTCTGGCCACCTCCCCTGGTGGGAATTCAATTGCGAAAAGTGCTTTTCCATCCATTGCTGTCACTAGCCAACTTGTCTGAGTGCTGTTGTTCCTAGGAGCCATCCTGTCAAGGCCTGAGTTCTTGGGATGTGGTTTCATGGCCCTTGCATACTTGGAGCATGTGGCCATTTAGGAAGAAGGGACCTTTCTCTTCTGTGCTTTCCCCAGCATGGGTTCTGGCCTCCTCCTGTCTTCTTCCTCTAACTGTTAGCTTCCTTCTCCCTCCCTCCAGGCCTCATCTTACCCCCTTGTGATTTCTCTCTCTCTTTAAGCCTGTCTTTGATGTCCTCATCTCACCTGGATAAGGATATTCTTTTATTGGAGGAGCCTAGTGACAAACAGCTCTGATTTGCTGACTCATAGCTCCTGAGGAAAAGCTCAGGTCATTGATAGTTAGCTTCCTCCTCTCAACAGCATCTGGCATGTAATTCTACAGGTGTCCATTCATTGTGCCCTGGTGCCTGTCCTAGGCTTAGATCCCTTCTCCTTCCAGCCCCGTGAGCACCATTGTACACAGATAAACATGGAAAGACAATGGAGCGTTCATCCCATGCAGATACCATCAGTGTGACAAGCAACACTGCATGCTCTCCGCCTTAGTTGTTAGGGAAGACAGTATTAGACCACTAATGTGTGACACTTTCATTTACCAGTTGTAACCTCTGAAACACAAGTTAATCACTTCAAAGAAGAGAGCAGATTTGACCATAACTGAATTTGTATTAAGAATCAACCCATCTTCTCTTCTCTTGACTCTGATTTCTGAGGCCTAAAGAGGCCTTCAGGGCAGTGTAGCAGGTGTAAGCCATGAGACTGGCACCATAGATTGACAGGTAGCCCATGTGTAATGCATTTTATTTGTGGAACTCTGATGACCCCAGGGCAACCACTACGTGCAGAGCTGTGTTCAGGGTATGGCATGGGTGGGCCAGGTTGTGGGATGATCAGGAGAAGACTCACTCCCAGCCCTCAGGGTGTCTACTGACCTCTAGTAGGGGTATATGATTGTCATTCTTAAAAATGCTCTAAAATATTATGTTCTATTTTATGAATAAACTATTACTAGAGACAGTAGGTAATGGCTTCCTGCTAGAGGAGGGGTTAGAGCAGTGCCTTGAGCCTGAGGAGGGTCTGAGCAGGGAGTTCTGGTTTTTGATTCCACTCTGCCTGGGACTATGTGACTCTAGGTCAGTTGCTTAAATATTTAAATAGGAGAGAGAACTGTTGTGAGAATTAAGCCTTGCATCGTTCCTGGGTCAATGATGTTGAATAGGGGAAGGAGTAAAAACTAGGAAGTAAAAGATAAGGAATAGAGACAACAACAAAACTAGGAAGTGAACGTTAGGGGCCAGAGGAAGAATGGTGTGCTGACAGGTTATGGTACAGGGCTGTGGAGGCTTCTTTTGGAATGGCACCTGACTTTTAGCCCTTGAACAGTGGCATTCATCTTTTCCCAGAGAAATGTGCCATTAATCTCCCTGCAGTATTGAGTGATGCTGTGGCTCACTTGTCATTCTCTGATTGGTTTGGAATCCCTGCTGGGCCTGGCTGACTGTGTTCCTCTTGGGTTCAGGAGTACCCCCACCCCTGCACGCTGCTGCCCTGCTGTTGGAACACTGTATAACACCAACACGCTTGAGGCTTTCAAGACTGCAGATAAGAAGCTACTTTTGGAACAAGCAGCAAATGAGGTGAGCTGGTCAGACCTGATGCATCTGTTGTATTTCCTGTGGTCCTGGCAGGTGTAGTCTTTCCCATGAGGCACATGGGTCTGTTGCAGAAACTACTGCATAATGGATACAAAGATGTTGGCAAGTTTCTTTTAATTTCCCCAGAGAGAATATGCCTAGCTCTCTGCTGTGCTGGTGAGAATGTTAGGGAGAAGACAGCCAGGCCCTCAGCTGAGGACAGACCAAAAATTCATGGCAGAGGTTAAAAATGAAGTTTGCTGTTTATCTCCAGTGAGTGTTTTAGAAGAGCCTGACCTCTTGGAGTTACATTCCTGTGGCTGAATGCGTCTGGGTGCCCCATGCTCTGTGCCCCCAAGAGGCTTGATGGTCCTGTGCACCACGATGCCATAGGAGATTACCATGCAGTGTCTCTGGCGTGGTCAGGGTCAAATCTAATTGACGCCTGCTGATTTACGAGGCCCTCTGTGGCCTGGCCCCTGCTGGCCTCTTTGGCCTGTCTATCCTGCCTCTTGCCCTTGCCTTCTCTGCCTCACTGACAGAAAATCACTGTTCTTTGTTCCCTCCTTTCTTCTTGGAATGTCTTTCTTTTGCTTCTTCACATATTAAAATGGTGGGTTGGGGGAGGAAGAGGAACTGTTTATCCCAATCCTCTTTATCCCACTTAATTGAGAGATCTATATGCTAGCCTTCAAAACGATGTCGTCTTATATACTGTTGATAGTGCAGCCATTGGGCAAAACAGTGTAGGTTCCTGCACATGATCCTGCAATCCTACTGCTGGATGTATATCCAAAGGAGATGAAATCAGTATGTTGAAGAGACCCCTGCACTCCCAAGTTCATTGCATCACTATTCACAATAGCCAAGAAAGATACGGAATCAATCAAGGTGTCCATCAATGGATGAATGAATAAAGAAAATGTGGAACATATATACAACGGAATATTATTCAGCCACAAAAAGAAGAAAACCTCATCACTGGCAGCATGGATGGAAGTGGAGGACATTAGAGTAGGTGAAATAAGCCAGACAGAGAATGACAAATATCATATGTTCTCATTCATATGTAGAAGGTAAACTAGTTGGTCTCATAGAGAATAGAATAGTGGTCACTAGAGTCTAGGAAGGGGACGGGAGAGGAGCTAGAGAGAGAATGGGTAACAGGTACCAGTAGATAGGAACAAATTTTATATATATATATCATAGTAAAATTTACAACAATTTATTGCATATCTCAAAAAAAACTAGAAACATCTGGCAGAGTGACTCAAGCGCCTGCCAAGCAATTGTGAGGCCTTGAGTTCAAACCCCAGTGCTGGCAAAAAAAAAACCTAGAAGAGAGGAATTTGAAGGATCCCCACAACAAAAATTAGAAAAGCTGATTACACCAATTTGATCATTATACATAGTGTACATGTATTGAATTATTACTGCATTGTGCTCCATAGATACATAACAATTATCAATTTGAAAAAAGATTTCCTGTGAGCACCATGATAAGACAAAAATCCAATGTAGGGGAAGAAAAAGAGGAGTGGTATTTATGTATGTGAGTGTAATGGTCAGAAGGAGGTCCTCTCACTGGTCCTGAGCAGGCTCTGCTCATATCCCCTGCAGTTGGCACAGTTTCTGACTTTGGCAATGAGGCTCATTTTTCTTGACCTGTGCCTTGCTGGTCCCGGTCCCCCCACATTGGCCACACACTTAAAGGGAGTCTCCAGAAAGTTGGATCAGGTTTTACTCCATAGTGGAAAAAGCAGGTTGCTCCTCACAGAGTCCCACCTTAACTAGGGCTCCAGCTTCTGGCAGTTCCCACCCTGTCTCATCAACTTGTCAGAAAGTGGCAGCCCACCCTTCACAGTCCACTGTGCAGCTCCTCCAAGGGTATGATGGCAGCAGTGGGATCTACTTCTCTTTGCTTGCTCCCTTCTTACACCCACACTTGGGGAATGGTTCTTCTCTTTGCATCACTGTTTTGTCTTGCCCCACAACACAAACACTAATCTTAGCTACTAAAATGTCTTGTCATCACCAGCTGCTAACCACTCCCGGCTTTTGTTTTCAGCCACAGTTCTTGCTGAGTGCACATAAACCTGAATTTTATTCTCTTTCTTTATCTCTCGAGGTGAGAGGATCCCAAATAAGGCTTTAAGAAATCCCCTCCATGTAGTTCACATCTCTTCCTTCCAGAACCTCCCTGGGCTCTTTGCCTCTCTCCAGCTGAGTCTGATGTTCCTCCCAGGAATTGTCCCTGCTTCTATGATAGCCAGTCCTACATGGTGCTGACCTTGTGCATCTATGCCTGTCTTTCTCCCTAAACTAAGAGCTTCCTGAGGATAGGACTGTGTCTTTTATTTTTGCAACCCCGATGTGCCTGGTATGTAGGAGACAATAAGTAAATACCTGCTGATGGAAATTTGAAGGCATGAGTGGCCTGGTCACCTGCTCTGTTCTGAAACATAAGAGGGCAGATGCTTAGATTCTCTCATTGGGCTCAAGTAATCAGGGGAACAAGGATGGGGGAGGTAGTGTGAGGTGGGCAGTGAGGTAACAAAGCAATTCAGTGTCGGGGATTAGTGGGGCTGGGCCTGAAGGGAAGAAGAGCTCGATGCTTTTGAGTTCCATGCTGTGCTTGACAGTGAGCAGCTCAAAGATGTCTGGCAACTTGTCTTGACACTTTTCTTTCTTCTGGCAGATCTGGGAATCCATAAAGTCTGGCTCTGCTCTTGAAAATCCTGTGCTCCTCAATAAGTTCCTGCTCTTGACCTTTGCAGTAAGTTAATGGCAGCTCCCTGTTGCATCGGTGGACCAAGAGGATGCTCTGCTCTCTCCTCTCTGGAGCTGTTATTTTGCATTGTTCTCTACAGCTGTTAAAGGAACACTTGTTTGATTAATGGCCAGATAGTGCTGGCACTTATTAGCAGTGCAAAATTAATTCACTCCTAATGATCTCACTTGCTGTAGGTACATGGTTTCTCTAACAGGTGACCCAGCTGCCTTTGTTCAGGACAGAATAAAGCCAGGCTCAGGGAGTAGTCTTTTATTACATACAACTAACATCTTTTTTTAAGTACAGTCCTCAGATCTCACTTGCTAGGCCTGTTGTGCTAGTGACAAAATGCCTGAGATAATTGATTTATAAGGAGGAAAGGTTTGTTTTTGGCTCACAGTTCAGGAGTTTCAGTCCGTAGTCACTTGACCTCATTGCCTTTGATCCCGTAAGAGCATGTGACAGAAGGAGTTGCTTATGTCATGACAGTTGGGAATCAGAGAGAGAGAGAGTCAGGAGGGTGCTGAGCTTTCAATATCCCCTTCCAAGGCATAGCCCCAGTGAGCTAACTTCCTCCACTAGGCCTTACCTCCTCAGGGTCCCACCTCCTCCCAATAGTACCACAGGCTGAAGACCAAGCCTTTGATCCAAACTATAGTATCTGTCATGTGAGGGAAAGGAGCTTCTGGGTTAGATTTGATCATGCCACATGGCTTGACTAGTTGATCTAGTTTAAAAATTTTTTAAAGGCAGCCTTGAAGAGGAGAGGAAATCACATGAGGGCTGAGGGTAACATCTGCCACCTAGAGACCTAGGGGTAAGGAGCTGGAGGGAATGAAGGTCTCATTGAGGGGGAAAGTTGGAAAAGGGTAAGGGTTACTTACAGAGGTACCAGCCCTGCACATGCACACATGCATGCTTGTACATGCACAGAAATGTTTGTACAGATAGTTCTTACTGTGATTGTTCATTTTAGGATTTTTTAATCTTACAATGATGCAAAAGCATCATCAGACAGCCATTCCAGTTTCCATTTTCAGTGCAGTAGTCAGTAAGTTATAGGAGCTGTTCAACACTTTATTCCATAAGAGGCTTTGTGTTAAATGATTTTGCCCAACAGTAGGCTAATATCAGTGTTTTGAGAACATTTAAGGTAGGCTGCGCTAAGTTAGGTGCATAAAATACATTTCTACCTAGAATGTGATATTTTCAACTAATGATGGTCTTGTCTGGACATAATGCCATGTGTATGTGTGTGTGTAAAAGGCCAGCTTCTTATAATTGTGTTAACCATATGATGTCTGTCAAGTGTATTTTCCATATACATACACTGTACATTTATTTTGTTTCTGCTGTTCCCTGTTATAAAAACATGTTGCCATGAGCAGTACCGGATGTGTTGATATTTGTTTATTTAGAATAAGTTGTTAGGAGTAGACCTATAAGCATATTAATGTTGCTATGTATTACTTTACACCAGCTTCATCAGCTGTGGCTTTAAACCCCTTCCACACACTTTATTTTTAACAAGTCGTAGGTCTTGCCTTTCTTCCCCCTGCTTCTCCTGAATGCTGCTGATGATTCATCAGTAGGCAGGGGAGGGGGTGGTGGGACTTCAACCTCTGGACTTACCAGTGGACAGTTATCTAGAGGAGCATATTTCTCTACCTGTTCCAGTGGGGGGGAAAGAAAAAGATGATTCAGTCCTGTCAGGTTACTTGGAGCAAATTGACATCGATCATTTGTTTATACGGTAGAGTAATTTTATAGGTTCTCTTCTAGGATAGGTTTAAATACTGCTAAAAATTTCTGGGTTTCTTAGTTGAACATCAATCCATTTTTTATACCAAGGATTCTTGTGAGTTGGCAATTGGTGTTTAATGAGAAAATAACATTAGCACTTATTGAAAGTTTTAAGGTATTTCCTACAGTCAATAGGTGTGTTGGCCTTTGTTGCCCTTTTTACTAAGTGTTCTAAGCCTGGCTTAAAAAAAAAATTAAATCTGTCCTTTAAAATCTTCAGACACAAAGGTCTTTGTGTTTAATTTGATCAAGGTCTTTGTATCCTGAAAAGAATCCTAAGAAATTCAGGCCTTTTGACTTTGGAAGATGACCTGATAAAGCTTCTTAGACTGTGTGAGGTCCTTCATCTTGAATTGGTTAACCTTTTGCTAAAGATCAGTTATGACAAATCATTTAAGTACAAAGAAGAGAGAATAATCTCTAGGGGTGTTCTTGATTTCCTTTTCACTGTTTTTAGACCTCAGAGGACCAGACATTTCATTAATCTCAATTTTGCAGTTAGTTTCACTGTTATAAAAAGGGAATTTTTTCTTAGTTGATCAATTACTGTCAGAGTTAGTGTCTGCAGGAGCTATAATTACTAGGCTTTTTCATCTGGGAGCATGCTTATATATAAATTTATATTTAAAAAGTTATCAAGTATGATTCCATTTATGTGAAAACCCAGAACAGGCACATCTACAGAGACAAATAATAGATAGGGATTGCCAGAGGATGGGGAGAAGAGGGCAGTGGGGACTTTCTGCTGATAGATACACAACTTCTTTTTGGGGTGATGAAATCCTCTAGATTTGGTAATAATGGTGGTTCAACCTTGTCAAAATAGTTTTCAGAGTCCACACCAAATTGTACACTTGAACATAATGAGTTTTATGGTGTGTGAATTACGTCTCAGTAAAAAAGTCATCTAGAAACCATCCAGTTTTTATTCTCAGCAAGATTCAAGAAGAAATATTACTTAGCCAAACAACTGTATTAGTGGTCAGTGGTCACAGAGTGGTAAGGAGGCTGCTTACCCTCGTAGCTCTGGAATTCTGTGTGTGAGTATTTCTGGCCCTAGCACTGCAGGAATTCAGTGGCAAGAGCCATCAGCTCAAGTTGTTGAGATAGTATCTAGGACAGCCTCCAGAGTCCTTTTCCCTGGTAACTTCCCCCTGGTGTGGGAATGGTCAGTCATTGTCTTGACAACGTTAGCCCTTCTATCTTTGCTGCCCAGTGCCTGGAGCTTCCTCATGACTTGTACTGTCAATCATGCACTTGCTTTCTCTCTGCTGCCTGATGATTGGAACCCAGAGTTATTTATATTTATCAAAGCATGTCATATTTTCCACAGATACTTTGCAAAGTACCTAGCAGTTGTTGACTTGAAGTTTTACCAAGAAGACATTTCCAAAGCAATATTATTTAGGTTGAGCATCCCTATCTGAAAATTCAAACTCCAAAATGCTCCAAAATCCAAAATTTTTTTAATATTGACATGATACCAAAAGTGGAACGTTCCACACCTGACCTCATGTTATGGCTGCATTTCAGTTAAAATATTGTACCAAATTACTAACCTCCAGGTTATGTATATAAAAAAATGAATTTTGTATTTAAACCTGCATCCTATCCCCAAGATACCTCATTATGTAATACTCCAGAACCTGAAACAACTCTGGTCCCAAGCATTTCAGAGAAGAGATGTGTAGGTATATGAACAGGATAACTTTCTCAATAATGTGTTTGGTTTCTTTGATCATGAAGAGAGCTTTACTGTGCTTAGAGGTGGAGCCTTCGCAGGTGACACATTGTGTGTGACACAGGGGGAGAAGCTGAAGTTTTGGAAGCAGAGCTCTGACCCCCATACTGCCACTGATTATTTTGTTGTTGTTCCGAGTTCCTTGCCCTTTCCTAAGCTTCAGTTTTCTGTCTGTAAGATGGCATAATAATAGTTTCCTCCTGGGGTGGTTTGTGTATTAAAGCATGACAGTGACAATGATTTGTTGTGCATCTTCTGTTAGCAAGTGGTTGGTAAAGTGTATTGTTGGTGTGTGCTGTGTGAGGGTGTTCTGGATCAAGACAGAAGACTGTTCTATCACAGTTCCTGTTTGAAATGAGAGTGTTTCTCATATGTTGTGTGCATGAGCTTTTCTCTCTAGGTGGCTGTGAGAAGTTGCTTTAATAGATGCATTTCAGCCTAATTATATTATTCTAATATCCAATTTCATATTTTTTATTCTAGGATCTAAAGAAGTACCATTTCTACTATTGGTTTTGCTACCCCGCCCTTTGCCTTCCTGAAAGCATACCTCTCATTCAGAGGCCAGTGGGCTTGGATCAAAGGTTTTCACCAAAACAGGTATCAACAAATAAAACAAAGTTTAGATAAAATTGTGTTTCCTGTGCAAAAGTAGTTGCATAGTTCATTCCAAAGATAAGCAGGCACTTCTCTGGATGGAGAGGTGGCAACTTCAGAATCCTCCACAGTTGACACTGGGTACGGTATTTACAAAATGTATGTAAATTCATTTTGAAGTAGTGAGCAGTAGATCTTCAGGTGTTCTGTGGCATTTGGTGAAATGCTAAAGCCTGCAGGGAGGAATTACAGGAGTATTTCAAAGCCTGTAAGAATTTACCAAAATGTGTTTTTCATTTTCATAGTGGGGAAACATAAAGCAATATTCTTTGGGAAGGGGGTCTTTGAAGCAAAACATAAGGCTTTCTCCTACCCTCGTACAAGTGGCAGAACTTCTCTACCAGGAATGGTATATGCAGAACTAGTCATTGTCATTGAAGAAGGTCATTAGAGATTAGTCATGAGAAGAGCAATTAAGATAATCAGGCTGCTAGAACACAGATCCTAACACAGGGAATTCTGCTGGCTGTTAAGGCAGTGATTGAATATCAGGATGATCTGAATCCATGAAGCATATCACTCACTAAACCCTGAATTCTGAAGCCAGGGAGCAGCCACTAATAATTCAGGAAACAAACTCATTTAGAACAAATTCAGGATTGTGGTTTTATGGAACTAAAAAGAGAAAACAAGAAGAAATCTAGGTTGGGGGAAAGGATTATGGATGGAGATTGACTGTGGGTATGGGGCTTCTTTTAGGGAGGACAAAAAAGTTCTAAAATTGTCTCAGTAGTGGCTCTTCAACCTTGTGGATATATTAAAAAAACAAACAAACCATCAATTCTACACTTTCAGTGGGTGAATTACAGGGTATGTGAATTATGTCTTAATAAAGCTATTAAGGATTTTGGTAAAATCTATCACTGTTAGGATCATGTTGGGTTATCACAGGAGAGAACAAATGCTTGGTTACCTCTCTAAATCCCTGTGATTGACAGCTCAGAGAACCACCCTGCCAAACCATAAAATGCCCCTTTGTGCTGCTGTCTAAAACACTGTCTTGTGAGGGAAAGTATTACATAAAGGTTAAGTGGTATTATCGGGTTCACTCTGTTCATTTGCTGCTAAAGAGTAATGGGTATGATCAGTCATTTCCAGCCTTCTGGCTTTAAGGTACCTTTCATTTTATACTCAGAACTGGATGTGTAACTTTCTAGAGAATAACTTCATCTTCACTGTTGTCAGATCCAAGCCCTGGAACGTGCATATGATGATCTCTGTCAAACAGAAGGAGTCACGGCCTTACCATACTTCTTAATCAAGTACGATGACAACATGGTGCTGGTTTCCTTACTTAAACATTACAATGATTTCTTCCAAGATCAAAGGACAAAGGTCAGAGAAACTTTGAGTGTCATTGTATTATCTGGTGAAAAAACAAATCTGAAGTTCAGGGTATGATAGGCCAGTATGAAATTTAAATTCAGATTTCCTGAGCCTCGCAAAGGATGTTTGGGGATATTTCCTTCTCTCTGCCTTCTCCCACCCCTACCATTCCCAGGTCACCTCCTGCTCCAGATTCCCATGGCTCTCTTTTAGCCCAGAATCGTTTTGAGATCTTGTTAGTGATAAAGCTATCTCCGTTTTCCCTCCTGATGTGTTGTACATCCATGTTTTAGTTTCCATTCCTAGTGCCACCACTGCAGTACAGGTGCCCCATCCCCCACCCCCTTTGTCTCACTCCTGTAGAGTTGGCATCTTCTTGCTTCCATCTTACATAACACTGCTATAGAAAAGTATTCCTCACAGTGTCCACATTCACTCCGTCGTTCATTGACCAAGAGCCCAATGGTGTCTTCCCTCTGGCCCCTGATACCTTTCCTGCCTCATCCTCCACTAATTTCCCCGTAAACCATTGCTCCAGCTAAGCTTGTCTGTTTTACGTAGAACCACCCCCATCACTGTCACCCAATCAAAAAACCTAGAGCCTTTTGTGTATCTTTCTTTTTCCTCATGTTGCATCATCTTTCTGAGACATTCTATCTGTGACTATCCTAAGAAACTTCCCTTAATGAGATTCTTCTCCCATGGTGACATGTTCTCATGAGTGTGGCCATGTGTGATTAGTCTCTTCGTGGCTAGACTCACTCTGCTTGTTTCCTGATTCTCACTTACAAGTCCAGTTGCCTGTTCAAGGTGTCTTCTGTGGCACATTAGACTGTGAGCTCTTAGATGGCAGGACTCATGCCTTATGGATCTGTCTGTGTCATGTCTAGCACTTGTCTGAGGCCCTCAATAAAATTCTTTTGAATGAATGAAAGAATACTGTAAATGTCTTTTAGAAGAGATCAGATATATAATATGCTGTCTTAGCCATATGAGAAATTACAAATTAAAAATAAAAGATTAATAAAGATTATGAAATTGTGAAATCAGGTAGAATAATTTCAGTAGCTATATAAATACATCAGAGCTAAGGAGAGAGAGGCCCTTAACTGATCGCCAAATAGTCATTAGCCTGAAACTAGGACATCTTTGTTTGGGACTGGAGATCAAACCCAGGGTCCCGTTAATGTTCTATTACTGAGCACAACCCTAGCCAATATGTCTCCCCCCTTTTTTTTTGAACTCAGGGCCTCATGTTTGCTAGGCAGCACTCTATGACTTGAGCCACTCTACCAGCCTCCATGTCCTTTTAAACATATTTTAAATCAACCACATTAGCATTTTCTTTTTCAGAGAACCCTTTTTTAAGGTGAGGAATGAGGATTTAATTTTTATTAAAATTCTCTCTTTCTCCAAGTGCTACCAGAACTGTAGCTCAATCAGTAACAGTAATATCAAACCATTAATAACTGAAATTCCAGTGTGGTGTGAGGTCAAAGTATGACAGCAGTCAGGATTGTTTGAAAGCAACCATAGGTCAGGTCAAGTGTGGTAAATACATGGTCCTCCCCCCACAGTGCCATGCTACCAAAAACGGTAACAATGTGCCAAACACTGCAAACCTTGCAAGGGACTTTCACAAATTTGAAAACTTTTTTTTTTATTTTCTGTGAAATAGGTGTTATAGCATCTGCATTTTCTGTTTGAGGAAAATGAGACTGAAAGTCACCATGGTCAAATGGTCTGATTCCAAAGCACCCTATATTCTACCGTTCCATTTCCTCACTGCTCTGCCTGACCTTGAGAATTCAAAGTAAATCTGAATTTGACACCCAGCATTGCCACTTGGTGTCTCTGTGACCTTGGGGAAACTGCATAACCTTTCTGCACCTTCTTTTTCCTGTTGAGTGGTGGCAGTACAACTTCCTTACATGGTTTTGTGAGTGTTAAACATGATGGTGTAAATGAAATGCCCAGTGCATAGCATATGCTCTACGTGCATCTACTTCTTTTCTTCCCCAACAGCAGCATGTTTTGAGAAACTGAACAATTCTCTGGGTCTCCTTTGAATTGCTCTTTGGTGTTCTCTGAGAACAGCTGCCTGCCAAGGTCAGGTCCATCACCCTTCACTTAGTTAGAGGCCTATTCCTTAGTTAGGGTAATGGCTCAAGAAAGGCTGGAATTCCTTAGCATATGTGAGCACCTCCTAGGGGCCAGAAATTGAGAGCTGCAGTTATATGTGTTCTCATAGAACTGAAGGTCTTCTAGGGCAGATGAAATGCTGTCTTGTGGAAAATTAAGTACAAATTGCAGTAATGGAAAAGAAGGGCCTAAAAAATGGTATGCTCATACTTCAGCTGTTTGTCTGAGTCCTCTTATTCTAGATAGGACCACCAGAAGTCATGTCCATTGAAGGCCTCCTTACAGTTGTTACAGCCTTCAGCCTGTGTTCCTGAATGCTCCCATCCATCCCCCACATGCTGCTCACATGCATTTGCTAACACTTGATTGTGTCACTTCCTCTTTTTTTTTTTTTTTTTTTTTTCATTTTTCTTTTATTATTCATATGTGCATACAAGGCTTGGTTTATTTCTCCCCCCTGCCCCCACCCCCTCCCTTACCACCCACTCCACCCCCTCCCGCTCCCCCCCTCAATACCCCGCAGAAACTATTTTGCCCTTATCTCTAATTTTGTTGTAGAGAGAGTATAAGCAATAATAGGAAGGAACAAGGGGTTTTGCTGGTTGAGATAAGGATAGCTATACAGGGCATTGACTCACATTGATTTCCTGTGCGTGGGTGTTACCTTCTAGGTTAATTCTTTTTGATCTAACCTTTTCTCTAGTTCCTGGTCCCCTTTTCCTATTGGCCTCAGTTGCTTTAAGGTATCTGCTTTAGTTTCTCTGCATTAAGGGCAACAAATGCTAGCTAGTTTTTTAGGTGTCTTACCTATCCTCACCCCTCCCTTGTGTGCTCTCGCTTTTATCATGTGCTCATAGTCCAATCCCCTTGTTGTGTTTGCCCTTGATCTAATGTCCACATATGAGGGAGAACATACGATTTTTGGTCTTTTGAGCCAGGCTAACCTCACTCAGAATGATGTTCTCCAATTCCATCCATTTACCAGCGAATGATAACATTTCGTTCTTCATGGCTGCATAAAATTCCATTGTGTATAGATACCACATTTTCTTAATCCATTCGTCAGTGCTGGGGCATCTTGGCTGTTTCCATAACTTGGCTATTGTGAATAGTGCCGCAATAAACATGGATGTGCAGGTGCCTCTGGAGTAACAGTCTTTTGGGTATATCCCCAAGAGTGGTATTGCTGGATCAAATGGTAGATCGATGTCCAGCTTTTTAAGTAGCCTCCAAATTTTTTTCCAGAGTGGTTGTACTAGTCTACATTCCCACCAACAGTGTAAGAGGGTTCCTTTTTCCCCGCATCCTCGCCAACACCTGTTGTTGGTGGTGTTGCTGATGATGGCTATTCTAACAGGGGTGAGGTGGAATCTTAGTGTGGTTTTAATTTGCATTTCCTTTATTGCTAGAGATGGTGAGCATTTTTTCATGTGTTTTCTGGCCATTTGAATTTCTTCTTTTGAGAAAGTTCTGTTTAGTTCACTTGCCCATTTCTTTATTGGTTCATTAGTTTTGGGAGAATTTAGTTTTTTAAGTTCCCTGTATATTCTGGTTATCAGTCCTTTGTCTGATGTATAGTTGGCAAATATTTTCTCCCACTCTGTGGGTGTTCTCTTCAGTTTTGTCACTTCCTCTTGAAACCCTTCTAGGATTCCTGTGGACTTTAGGGTAAAGTTGAAATTACTTATCTTGGTGTTCAAGGCCTCTTTAAATGGAGCTCTGCTAGTCATTGTAACTCCTGATACTCACCAAGATGTAGCCTATGCTCTTGACTATAGCTCTGCCCTCCACATGTCACCTGCTTCCCTGCCTCTCTGCCCTCAGACATGCCTGTCCCTCTGTCTCCTATCTGTCACTGGCTGTGGTTCCCCTACCTTTCTGATTCATCCTACTATGAAGCACCAGCTAACTCATTGTACTGTTTCATCTTTTTCTTCTGGGGTCTGGCTGCAGCCTCCCTACTACACTGATGGGCTCTAAGGTAATTGTTGGTTTGCTCAGCTGCCTGCTTGGATCCTTGGCCAAACAATGAGCTCCTTTTAGCACAGCAGCTGTGTTTCGCCCTTCTCTGAATCCTCCACACATAGAATGCCAGACACTGGAGAGCGCAATGTGAGGTTTAGAGGGCGGGGAGACAGTCTTCTGGGGAAATCACAGAAGTCTTTTGGGGAAACTAGGGCTTCAGCAGAACCTCATGTAAATGATTTCTGTGAAACCTAGGTGTCCCTTGAAGGCATCCTTGCTTTTACTGACTTGGCCTAGTTCTCACTCTTGAGCATAATTCCAGCTTCTCCTTGGTGTTCCTTGAATCATGGTGTTTCCTTGAAGGTTTTCACTTTCTTCTTCCAATAACAGGCTTCCTTTTCAGTATGAACTCTCATGGTTGTGCTCTGGCTTTGTGTTCTGTTCTATTTTTCACCTCCTCCTGGTTTGTTCTCTCTCTCTTCCCCCTCCCCCATCTCCCAGCACGGGGGATGGAAACAAGGGCCTTGCACATGCTTGGCAAGAGGTCTGCTGAGCTGCATCCCGGACCCTACCTTCCCTCTCGCCAACACTTTGATCCTCCAGAGGTCACTGTTCCTCCTGAGCCTTGTGCCTGCACATCAAAGATGGGGAAATACTGGAATTCTTCTAGGTTTCTCTCCTGGGTGATCTCATTGCACCCATGACTCCAGTAACCACTTCCTGACATGTGACACTTAACTGCCACCAGCCTGAAACTCCCACGGGTCCTCCCAGACCACTTTATCAAACCACCGACTTGCCTGCTTCAGCACTTCACATTTTACACATAGTGAGCACAGGATCTTCACCCAAGGTTGGTGGTCTTGGAATCACACTGCTTCTGTTCAGTCTGAGGAGTCAGA